ATAAGAATTCCAATTCAGATACAAACTTGCTAAACTAAATCTTAACTTCCAGGGATCCTAAAACTAAACAAAATCCTCAGACAGCTTGAATTAATACAAAATGTAGGTGGAAGAAAAGTTCAGTTACTCAACAATATATTAGAATTGTGTGTGTGTGTGTGTGTGTGTGTGTGTGTGTGTGTGTGTTACTGGAAGCTGAACCCAGGGCCTTATGCATGATAAGCAAGTGGTCTACCACTGAACTATATATTCCCTGCTCACAAATTTTTAAAAAATTCTAAATATACATATCAATGAATTACAAGTGTCTTTATATTAACAGACACAAATAATAATGCCAATAATATGAATATATATCAAATTAGGCAATCATAACTCTCTTCATTAGCTCTCTTCATACGATATTTATTCATTAAACACTGTGAAGACTATCCTGAAAAGCTTTCTAGATCTTCCTTAGAAAAATACCTAGCATTTTCTATAATCATTGAAGAGTTAGTTTTAGATTGTAAGATTTCTGAGAAAATTCTGAGTAATATATTCTATACTTTAACTCCAATTATGAGGGCACATAAAATTGTAAAATGATCTGAAAACCAATTCAGCAGTCACAACTGCTCTTTGCTATAAACCCCAGTCCACATAAGAGTACTGTCTCTTAGTATCAAGAGAAAGACTAACAGATGGAATGTCAAACAAGAACAACAAAACAGCCACAAAAAGCAAAAAACACTGGAGGTGACCACACACCAAGCTTTCCCATCAATCGTTACTATCAATGCACCCATGAAGACAGGACCAAAAGAATATAGAAAACAGCACAAGGATCTTCTGTCTAAAAATATTACATTTATTGTGTAGCTGTTTATAATATGTGTGTAATCATGAATCTCTTCTGTATGGTGTCAACAGCATAAATGAGTCTGGAACAGAAAGCTGCTGCTAAGGAAATCAGCTCCTACTCAGGCAACATTGAAAAACAACAAAACAGCAAATCAGCAGTGTTTTCATGTCTGCCTGATTAAAGCATTCTCTAACTATTCAAAACAACTAGTTGGTCTTGTTTTGGCAATAAAGTTTTCAAATAAAGGACTAAATATTATTTTAGGTTACAAATATTATGAGAAAAAGCCTACTGTCATTTGTGAGACAAAACAAACCAACTTAGGGGCTTGGAAATGCTTATTAAAAAGATAAATCATCAGAGAATTTTATCATTAACTTAATAAAAACTAAAACAATAAACAAAATATAAGGGATTGGAAAAAGTTATCTTGATATAATCATATATGATCTGGCATATTTCTAAACTACAATAATACTTAGTTTTCTAGACTTTCAAAATATCTATGCTAGATCATAAGTTATATATTCAATCTAGTTAAAAAGAAATATGAAATCAACACTATTATAATTTAGGAAACATTATAAGAATCAAGTAGAAATGTAGGAGTCAGAATATAAAAGAAAAAGAAGGGGGGACTGACTGGGACCCTATATAAGAATACCAAAAGAATATTAAATCAAGAAGTCAAATATGAAGGCACAGCAGAGATTCCCCCTGCCGGTTTTGTAGAAGTAAAACCATGTTACACTGCCTAAGTACTGTCCATGTGATGACCATTTGAAGGAGGTTCAGAGGAGCTGAAATCAGCCCTCAAGAAATGGTAACCAAGAAAAAAGAATGTCAGTCCTGCATTTACAAGGACCAATGAAACTGTAAAAAGACCTTGAACGCCAAGTTAGAACACAACTCCAACTGAAATCTTAACACAAAGAACCTGAGATGAACAGTTTGCATACTTTTAAACTGCAGACTGTGTAATTTGTTACACAATAATACAAAACTAAATATATATATACACTTAAATATATGTAAATATAAATATATTTATGTCATATCAGAAAATGCTGCTCTTCTATGTTACACCTACAAATCAAACACTTTTAAAAAATTTATTATTTTTATTTTATGTGTATGCGTGTACTGCCTGCACATAGGTAAGTGCACCCATGTTGTGCAATGCCTGCAGAGGACAGAAGAGGTTATCAGATCCCCGGACACTGGAGTTACGGACAGTTGTTAGCTGCCATGTGGGTGTTCGGATTCAAACCTGGGTCTTCTGTAAGAACAGTGTTCTTAACTGTTAAGCCATCTCTCCAGCCCCCAAACACTTTTTTCTAAACAGTGAAATGTCTTTTCTATACAATCTAGTGATAAGCTCTGGTTTTCATGAAATTTATGTATTTAAATTTTGTACAAAAAGCATTTTGCTTCCAAACTTATTTGATTTAAAAAATAAAACCGAATAAAAAATTGAATCTAATCTTTAATCTTTTTTCTTAATATTTTCTTTATTATTTTAATTTTATGTGTATGAGTGTATGTGAGTGCACCTGTGCCATGCAATACCGCAGAGGTCAGAAGAGGGCTTCAGATTCCCCTGGAACTGGAGTTAAGGACAGTTCATAGCCACCATGTGGGTGCTGGAAATCAAACCCAGGTCCTCTGCAAGAACAGTCAGTGCTCCTAACCAGTGAGCCATCTCTCCAGCCCCATAATCTTTAATCTTTTTAAAATTTACTATTTTAGAAAATATTTACCATATTCTGTATTATTAAAAAAATATATATATACACATTTATTTATTTATTTAATTATTTATTTATTTGGGGCTGGAGTAATGGCTCAGAAGTTAAAAATACTAATTGTTCTTGCAGAGGACCCAGGTTCAATTCCCAGCACCCACATGGCAGCTAACAACTATCCCTAACTCAAGTTGTGGGGGAATCCAATGCCCTCTTCTGTCCTCCATTGGAGTTGTACAACATGGTACACTTAGATACATGCAGGCAGTATACTCATACACATAAAAATAATAAAAAATACATATTTAACATACTTCTTTCTTGTTTCATTATTTCTTACTCATTAAAGTATATCATGTTAAGAAGTACATTACATTGTGAAAGAATATTATCTCACTAACAATATGTATTATGTGGAGAAGGAAGAAAGAGATCAGTTTCACAAACAACATAAGTTATATAAAGTTAAGCAACAATAACTTTTCCAACACAACTATCTGTTGTCTACTGAAGGTGGGGTATGGATTGGTTGGTGGTATTAAGTAAGCTGACATTTACATTTTTAGAATGAAATGATTAAAACTTTCTCCTGTATTTTTGTCAAACATGAAATTCACCACAAAAAGCGTAATCTTCTAAACAACCATTTGGAATGTTATTTTGTACAATTCCAAGAGTTTTTTCTTTAAAAAAGAAATTTGTATGTAAGAAAAAAAAAAATCTAAATTACTCTACCTTCCACAGTCAAAGTCCCCATTTTAGATTCCAAGAAATCAAATAATGTGCTTGGTGCTGATGGCCTTGCATTTCCCAGGTCCTCTTCATCTTCAGATCTTCCACGACCCCTGCCTTTTCCTCTACCTTAAGGTTTAAAAGTACATATAGAGTATGAGAAACCAAAGGAGAAAACTCGCCAAAATACTATCAGCAAACTTCTAAAACCACATGCATTTCTCTCACATTGTAAAGTTATTCTATTTCTCTTATAATTAAGAAATGTTTTTTAATGATAAGTGGTACCTTTATTCCTTTATATGATCTATCCAGATATTTGAATTTACTCATCTAAATTATCTTTTAAGGAACTAAATCAGTGTTTTTCTTGTTTAACCACATATTTTTTTACAATGAATATGGGACTTGGACTTGCAATAAATACACACTGCTCTTGACTACATAATGCTTAAACAATAAAACCAAATAAAGACTACTATTTGGTTGATTTTAGAAAGCTTATAAAATTAGGTCTTTATAAATGTGGTATACCAATAGAAATAAATAACAGAACCAGTTCTTGTATATCATATTTTCTCTATTACTTGTAACAATTTTTATTAAATAAGGCACTATTAGACATGGTTTATATGAAGATAAGACAAAGAAACTTGCAGTAAGTAGCCTGCAACCTATAGTTTCAAATCCCACACGTCTAGATGCTAAAATGTTACCTAAAGCTCAGCCCTCATAGTAGTAAGACTCAGCCTCTGTCCAGAACATATCTATCTGGTACATAAATTTTACCTCTAGGAGGTGGTCCCATAACAGGTTTCTGCTTATTGCTGTTAAGAAGTACATTCAATGCTGCTTCTAAGTTGTTGCCATTATCCATAAGAGCTTGCCTTGATGCTTCCTTACTGAAGCCCATTTCTGTTATGTGCTTCAGTGCCTTCTCATCAACCTGTAAGGAATGAAGAGAAAGCTATGCTAACAGAATGTAAATAAAGCTAGGTACCAATTTTAACTATTTACTGTCTTTTAGTTTAAAATTTGTTTCTTATCTATGGAAAAAGTGTTTTACTAATACAACATTCTGACAAGCTGCTTTTCCACACTAATAGCACAGGAGAATCTGTATGATAAGTGGCACTGTACCTTTAGTACTCTCAACTTAGCAAGTTCCATGGAAAATACAAACAAAAAAAGAGAAAATCATGCTGTAATAGAATAAGTGCTTTAAAATCAATGCAGCAAAGAGAACAAGGCCTCATAAAAATCCTCATGGTAGAAAGTAGAATAATTATGATACTTCTTCCATTCAAGGAACTGTAATTTATAAAGGACTCTTCAAAAAAATGCAAAGAAAAAATATTCAAAGTACAATAGGATATTTAAAAACCAATTAATTTACTTTATGGTTAATTATTTTTCCTTACCAGTTCTCTATAGACACCTTCATGTTTCCCCTCTGATTTGGAAGACTTTTCTTTTTGTAAAACATCCCTAGTTCGGTTACCAACAACGCCCATGTTGAGACTACTTCTGGCACCACCTCCACCTCCTCCAAATGTCTTTGTCTTTAGATAAGAGAAAAATAAAACAGATATAAGTAAACTGCATTTTTAAATAGTCATTAAAAACTATAATATTACTTAAAAATCTGAAAAAAATTAATCATTTAAAAGTTTATTTTTATAAGAAAAAAATGAGATACCTAATTTTCTTAAAACAACATAGAACACAGACATATACTATTCATACTCTCTCCTTTTTTATAAGTCCACACTGAGCAATAAAAGAAAAATACAGGATTTTAGCCAAGTCAACAAAATAAACCTTTGTGTATAATAATATAAACATTATAAAGATTAGCTGTTTAAGCTACTCTAGTAAAATACTGTAATGGTCTTGGACCTGGGTTCTAAATCCAGATACAAGTCAAGGTTATCCTAAACAAAGTGCTAGACTGCTCCAAGAATCAAATGAAATATGTCCATGGTCTGGTTCACTCTATTATCTTAGAAAGTAAACATAATATGAACATTGGAGCAAAATTATTTTACTAGGTCATTATTTATATTCATCATATATCATTTCAACAATATAGAAAAGCCTGAGTCTATATTCATTATTTTCCTAACTTATTTGAATAGTTATACATGTAACTAAATTTGAAATTTGATTTAATTGCATTAATTTTATTTAATCATTTTTATTTTATGAATATCAGTGTTTTGCCTAAATGTATGTAGGTATACTATGTGTTGTGCAGTGCCCAAGGAGTCCAGAAGAGAGAATCAGATCCCTTGGAACTAGAGTTATGAAAATTTACAGTCACCAAGTGGGTGCTAGGAACAGATCTCAGGTCCTCGCCAAGAGCTGTCATTGCTCTTAACCACTGACTGGCTCTCTCCAGCCTCTAATCTCATTGTTGGTTTTTTTTTTGGGGGGGGTGTCTTTTTGAGACAGGGGTCTGGAACTCACCAGGGAGATCAGTGAGGCCTTGATCTCACAGAGCTACCCCTGCCTCTGCCTCCTCAGTGCTGGGATTAAAGGAGTAGACCACCAAGTCCAGCTTTAATCTTTTTTGTCTTTTCAAAATAATCATGAAAAAAAAATAGACAATAAAATCATTGACTTGGAAAGATACAAGAAAGTTCATGGCTGAAAAGTACCTCAAAGCTGTTTCTTAAACAGTATCAGAGGAAAAGCCTTTGTTATACAATATTTTTACACTGATAACTTTAATAAAAATAAGTTAAAACTTGATTTTAAAGATAATGACCAATAGTTCCGGAGAACCCTTGAATTTATTTAACGTTTGGAAATTATTTTGAACCAGATTAAAATATAAAGTAGAATCTGAAAAATGGGAAAATCATGCTATATGTACATTACTGGAAAACATATTAAGTATTTCTAGAAGAGACTTGATACACCATATTATTTAAAGTTAATGCAAATCAAAGTTAAAGCTGTTTCTTCAAAGATCAAAGATGTATTACTGGAGTGGGTTTACAGAATTTCATCCAGAAAAAAAAAAAGGCCTCATATTCATTATTTGTTTAACAAGAAGAAAAAAGTGTCTTACATGATGTGATGTGAGCTCCTTAGATGGGGGACTACAGCACAGACAGTACAATACACATGTTTTGGATGAGCTAGACAAGTCTTGTTAGTACTAATCTCTGCTCCCGCCCTCATGCAAATCACTTAATTTTTACTTTCTACTGCTTCTTGAGATTTTTACCCCTAAGAGGATGGAAAAAAACCATACCTTCTGAGGATTAAATAACATCATAAATAGGAAGGGATTACACCTCAGCAACTGGTGCACAGGAAATACTCAAAAACAGATGAAAAACCATTACCTGAGAAGTTTGCAGCCTGATCTGTTCCAAATTAAATGTATTTCTGGAATTTATATCACATAATGTGCTTTCTCTATTGGTGCCAATGAAATAGGTCCATTTTCTAGATATATTTCCTTATTATTTTCTTTCCGTTTGTGAATTAAGAAACAAGATAAACAGCATTTTACAGTTGCTTCTCTTTCTTTAATTTCTATTTATTATTTTTATTTTATGTGTATGCGTGTATTTCCTGCATGTAGGTAAGTACGCCCGTGTCATGCAATGCCCATGGAAGTCAGAAGAGGCTGTCGGATCCCCTGGGACTGGAGTTACGGACAATTGTTAGTTGCCATGTGGATGCTGGGATTCAAACCCAGGTCTTCTGCAAGAACAACCAGTGTTCTTAACCACTGAGCCATCTCTCCAGCCCTACACTTGCTTCTTAAGGATTTAAAACAGTTACTACCAGGCTGGAGAGATGGTTCAGGGTTAAGAGCACTGGTTGCTCTTCCAGAGGATTCTGGGTTTGATTCCCAGCACCCACATGTCATCTAACAACCATCCATAACTCCAGTTCCAGGGGATCTAATGCTCTCTTCTGGCTTCTGCAGGCTTTGTACAACATGGGTGCACTTACATATATGCAGGCAAAACATACACAAAAAATAAATTAAAAACATTTTTAAGTTGTTATTCATAACACATAAACACTGAGAATCATCACAACTTAATACCCATCAGGTAAATGGTAGCTGTCCTGATCCATACTGTATTGTTCATGGTGTGTGAATTAGGCATCCCTAAGGCCATCCTGACTGCCTTCCAATCTTACTGTATTTCCCTAGCCCACTCACTTCTCACTCTTTTAGTCCTCTAGTATCTTCTTCACAATTGTCACCTCTGACTCTGCTTACTTTCTTACTTAAAAAAACTGAAATTAACATTAAAGAACATGCACAGTGGAGCTAGAAAGGTAGCTCAGCAGTTAAGAGCACCGCCTGCTCTTGCAGAAGACCTGGGTACAGTTCCCAGCACCCACAAAGTGGTTAACCACCATATATAACTTCAGTTCCAGGGGCTCTAATGCCCTCTTCTGGTCTCTGAGGGCATCAGGCACATACATGGTGCACTTAAATACATGTAGGCAAAATATTCATGCACATAAAATAAAAATATATTCCCCCCCCTTCTGAAGCTGTGGTTTTTTTTCTATCTTCTAAGTTGATTTTTTGTATATTTCATACAGAGCATCTTAATCATCTTTATACTCTCTCCCACATCCACACCGTTCCAGAGCCCCACCACTGGATTTCATGCATTCTGTCATTTATGTTAAGGAATATCGAATCAAGTTAGTATCCCAAGATGTCCCTCAGTGCAAGTTCATCCACTGGGGTCTAGTCAACCTATCTAGAGTCCCTCCCTTAAAGAAGATCAGTTCTTCCTCACCCAGCAATAATCAGCTGCCCAACAGTTATTCAGCTAAGATTGGGGCCTGCTGAAGATTTCCGCAGCTCTATGGTGGGCTTTTGTCTGTTTGAGTTTACATGGGTCTTGTGCAGGCTGTTACCATCGCTGTTAAGTTCATATGAGCAAGGTCTCAGGAGCCTATAAGACTCTATTTCCAAGTGGCCATGCACATCTGCCCCTGCCTTGATTTTTACCACATCAAAACCAATGTAGAGGGGATGAATACCCTCCCTGACACTAGAGCATCAATCTTTATCCTATAAGCCTTTTCAACTACCCTTGGTAAGTTCCTCATTCCCTTATCCATAATAAACTTCCTATGTACTCTTATTTCTCTATATATTATTGATCACTGCTTGGAAGGATTAACTTCTACCCATCTACTCTAAGACGGATTATACTACAGTGTGCCACCTTTTCCCTTCTCAATCAATATTCATTTTTTTGGTGACCTCATTTAGCCTGATACCATCCAAGAGCATAGAACTCTAAAATATATATGGTACTTATGTGTGCTCGATAGCTTTAGCATCAACTTTACACATCTGGATTGAGGGAGCCTCAATTGGGGAATTGTCTCCATTGGCCATGTCTGTGGGGCATCTTCATTATTGCTGTGATGTGGGAGGCTGCTACTGTGAGTGGTGCCACCCCTGGGCAGGTGGGCCTGTGTTGCATAAGAAAACAGGCTGAGCAGGAACCAGGGAAGCAAGCCAGTAAGCAGTGTTCCTTCATGGCCTGTGCTCCAGGTTCCTGCCCTGAGTTTCTATGTTGGGCTCCCTGACGAACTGTGACCTGGGAGACGTAAGACAAATAAACCCTTTCCTCCCCAAGTTGGTAGTGGTCAGAGTGTTTTGACACAGCAATGGAGAGGCAAACTAGAACAGAAATTGGTACCGAGAATGGGGTATTGCCATGACAGATCTGACCTTGGTGTTTTTAAGAGGATTGTGGAAGCATTCAAAACTTTGGGCTGGAAAAGCCACTAAGTGCTCAGAGTATGTTGCTGTGGAACTTGGAACAGTTCTGCTGAAAGAGTTGTAGACAATGGAGGCCTGGCTTGTGAAGCTTAAAGTGGAGACTATCAGGGCTGTTCATGTGATACTTTGAATTGAGAATTTGTAGGTTCTGATTGGCTGGGGCTGAAGAATCAGCATGATTAAGAAGAGACTAGAACCTGAAGTAAAACCTTTGCTTTACTGGGACAATTGATGCTGGTTAGCTGGGGGCTGAAAAATCAGCTTTAAGTTACAGGAGACCAGCATCACTGAGGTGAAGTGTTCTGGGAGGTATTTCCTCAGGGTCAGCACACAGAAGCTATGGTCCAGAGGGGACCAGAGCCTCCATCTCAAGCTGGAAGTAGGACTTGGTAATGTGTAAGTCTCCTGCATGGTTGTGGTGTTGAAAATGTGAAGGGGTCAGAGAGCAGCTGAGGCTTGGCACTCCAAGAGGCCAGGAAAGGCCATAGGTTAAAGTGCAGCTTCAGTTGTAGTGAAGACCCCAGGACTGAAGGGGTCATGGAGAGAATCTGAGGCTTTGCACTCCAAAAGGCAAGAAGAGGCCATTGGTGAAGGTATAGCCTCTGTTTCAGTGGAGACCCCAGCTTTTTGGAGATGCCAGGACTGTGGGACAACCACCAAGGCCAGCAGTAGGTGTGGAATGGAGCTGGCCTGGGTCTGCGAGATGAGCTGAGTGTGCTGTGGATGGCAGAGTCAGAGAAGTAAAGCTGCCAAAACCCTTTGGAGGCTAGAAGACCGTGAGTGAATTCCAGATGTCCAGCCTTGAGCTACTTTGCTGGACTTTGGTTTTGCTTAGTTGTGCCCGATTCTTCTGTTTTAAATAAGACAGTACTCGTTTTGGATTTTACAGAAGAAACCCACAGTTAAAAAGAGACTTTTAAAAGAGACTATGGACTTTTAAGTGTTTGATATTTTAAGGGCTGTGGGGCTTTTAAGGCTGTACTATCTTATGTTGTGATATAAACATATCTTGGGGACAAGAATTGGAAAGGTTCTGGTTTAATAGTGATGTGTATGTGTCTCAAGTTGATAAGGGGTCAATTGTGCTGGATAGCTTTAGTGTCAACTTGACACACCTGGGTTGAGGGAGCCTCAACTGCGGAACTGCCTCCATTGAACTGGCCTGTGGCCATGTCTGAGGGGTATCTTCTTGATGAATGATGTGGGAGGGCCCAGCCCACTGTGGGTGGTACCACCCCTGGGCAAGTGGGCCTATGTTGCATAAGAAAGCAGGCTGAGCAGGGGCCAGGGGAACAAGCCAGTAAGCAGCATTCCTCCATGGCCTGTGTTCCAGCTCCTGCCTCCAGGGTCCTGCCCTGAGTTCCTATGTTGGGTTCCCTGATGAACTGTGACCTGGGAGATGTAAGCCAAATAAACCCTTTCCTCCCCAAGTTGGTATTGGTCAGAGTGTTTTGTTACAGTAATGGAGAGACAAACTAGAACACTATGCCAAAATTCTTTTCAGTTATACTTTTCTGTCTCACTATTAAACATTCTTACATCCATATTTAATATGCACCTCAATATTCATATGTTCACAATAGAGCACCAGATTGTCTCCCCTCCTGTCTCCCCAATTCTAGCTTTCTGCAATTCAAGGTACCCTGACAATTCTCAGAGTAAAATCTTCAGTCATTCTTGACATCTTTTCTCTCATGCCCCATATTTAATATATCAGAAATCTTCCCTACTTTCAAAAATTCAGAACAGGCAGCTTTGTACCACCTATGGACCTACTACCTTTGTGAAAAATACCAACACATCTTTTCCTGCATTAGTTCAATAATCTCCTAGCTTGTCTGTAATTCCAATCTTCCTTCTCAATAAGCAGTCTGGATGTAGCAGCCAGAATTAGCCTTCTAAAATACAGGTTAGCTGAAATATTACTGTGCTCAAAACTCTCCAAAAGCTTACAGTTTACAATTTCTAAGCAATAAGCCAGTATCTTGACAACTGTTTATAGGCCCTGCATAAACTGAACTCCATTATTCCACCTCTGCTTCTCTGCTTCTCTGGACCATCTTGTTCTTGAACATCTCTTCCTGTTTATCACCTTTCCAATAGCTTTTCCCTGTATCATTCTTTCTCAGATAACCATAGATTAATTTTCTCACCTCCAAATCATGGCTCAAATCTCACTATCTTGATGCTTAGTAAGGTCTATAAATAAAATTGTTACCTCCAACTTATTTTATATGTTTGAAGTATTTATAATATTGATCTTCTATTGTGTCACAGATGGATTTATTTCCTAAAATTGCTATTGGGTAATGTTGGACAAGTCAATTTAGTTAGCTTAACACCTTCAACTGCCTCATATAGAAACTGAGAAGTTTCCAAATCTGTTTCAGTTCTAAAAATCTATGATTCTTTATCAAATATTTGTGAAGAAAATATGTGATCAATTATTAATATAAAAATGAAGTAAATTATGTTAACTATACTCCAATATATAAGCTTTGTAAATATAGTAAACAAAATCCTCAGGAGGGGAGTTTAAGATACATGTAAACCAGAAAAACAATGTATGTACAGATACAATATATGTATCTCCCAAGTATTTTTCAGAAAAAAATTAAATATATTTCATATAAACTACAAGACATATATATTTTTTAAGTGCCTTATAATGAAGATACTGAAAAATAGCAATAATCACAATTATTGAGTGCTCTGAGCACAGGAGAGTCACAATCTACAGGCAGAAGTAGTGGTTCTAGATGGTTTAGAAATTATCTATTGTAATCTCAACAGCAACCAGAACAGTTCCACTACTGTCCCCAAATTTCACACATGAAGTGAATTAAGGTACAGAAGCTCTGAATTCAATTCACAGAAGACATCAGGGCATGCTTCCAAGTTGCCTAAGTTCAGAGTTTCTATGTGTGGCCTTATCCTAGACTAGAGGACATGAGGACAGCCAAATTCCAAAAAGCCTTCTGCTGAAGCTTTGAAATTAAATAGGAAAGTGATGCTTCACTAAGCTTCATCATATTTTCAGTAGAGGAAACTATTTCAATTTCAAAGATTAAAAAATGTCTAAATACCTAATTCAGAAACAAAAATTCTTTTCTGTATGTAAGCCTGGTCTACATAGTGAGTTCCAGGACAGCTGGGGCTACAGGGAGACCCTGTCTCAAAAAGACAAAAAAAAAAAAAAAAAAACCCAAAACTAAAACATAGCTTTTATTTTTATTTATACTTCCGTAAATCATTGTGACAAATCAATAAATATAAAGTGATTATTGTGGATTAAATTGTTTTAACAAATCACTGTGCTTTCTCCAGCATACTTTTTTATTGAGCTTTTTAAATTTCATACATTTTCCACTCAAATCCGGACTCCCTCCCCGATCCATGCCTACCCCTATCCCTCCACCAAACCTTATGCACTCTGCCATACATGCCAAGTCCTAATCATTCAGGTATTTGCACCCCAATGCCCTTCAGTGTAAATGTGTCCATTGGAGCCTAGTCAGCCCATCCAGTCATCATATATGTCATACTCTCCCTCACCCAGCAGGAATCAGTCTCAAATAGTTCTCAATCTAGTGTTTGCCCACCATCTATTTTTAACCTCCCCTTTGGACCCTTGCTTGATTGAGGTGACACGGGTCCCGAGCTTGATGCCACGGCTACCACATGCTCACATGAGCAAGCCTCCAGTGGCCTGGAAGCCTCCACCTCCCTGTGCTCATGAACCAACCCTGGCTCTTACAATCTTTCCACCTCCTCTTCCACAACGGTTCCTGAGCCGTGGGTGGGTGAGGTTCCATATAGGAGTCCCATCCTATACTCTACAGCTTCTTATTCTCCAAAACTTGGCCAATTGTGGCCTACTGTGTGCATTGTACTCTACATGGAAGCCTCACTTGTGAGAGTTGAGGGGTGCATTAGCCCTCTCTCCACCCCTTATTCCACTTTGTTCCATAAGCCCTAGTTGTAGAGATTCCACTGTAGATGTGTGTCACCTAGTACTGGGCATCTCCCAGGGATATGTTCTCTGTGCCTGACCAGATGTACAACTCTGCAGTAGCCTCCATCTGTTGCTAAAAGAAGCTTCTTTGAGGAATGCTGCACAGCAAGCTTGTCATTCTAAGGGAGGTCTCTTCTATCTGGCACTGTGTTCCCTGCCAAGCAGCTCCCATGTATACATATCCATTAATGTTCAGACATTCTATGTGCATTTCTCATAGAGTTTCTAGGGCATCACTTTTCCCTCTAGGTTTCCTAGTCCCTAGATTCACTCATCTCCTCTTTTTCCTCCCATCCGGCTCCCCTCCTCCCTCCTTCCCTCGTCACAGTGCCCCCATTATCCCCACTCTCCCCCTAATACCTCCTCACTCCCACCATCATCCTCTCTTAACTTCCCCTCCCTTCTCCACACCATGGTCCCTTGCATGTCCTTCCATCTTCGCCCACCTGCCAATTACTCCTACTTTTTCCACCTCCCTCAGGTAACAACTGTTCCCTGCTATCCCCTTTCAGGTTGAGAATCAATCAGCAAACAGAGAAAAGACCTAGCCCAAGTAAGAAAAAATTCAAATCAAAGAAGCTGGCCAACCATGGCATAAGACAGAGGGTATGTATATGTGCATGTATATATTTATAAATACACATATAACCCAAAGATAAACATTTTTTGCTATAAACTAATAAACTTAAGAAAAAACTGACAAAAAATATTATTTCTGACCAACTAATTAATTCTGACCTTGAACTCATTCCTCCAAAGTTACTACTCACAGTTAGAAAAAAAAAAAAAAAAAAAAAACTTGAAGAGTGGTAACTAGTTCACCTAGTAACAGGAAACCCCCAGATGTTTCTTTGAATGTGCTTAGCTGTGATTTCACTAAGAAGCAAAAAAGTAACAGAAAAAGGATAACTTGCTAACAGAAAAATTTACTGAAATTGCCAGACAATTTGGAAAAAGAACACATGAATAAAATGTGCATGCATAAAAACCCACAAAGGAGTATGGCATTTTTCCACTTCTAGAATATGTAAGAATAGTAACATAAAGACATTTTGGAATTAGTTAGGTAAAGGCAATAAGGATCATGAGTAATTTAAAGAGGATGTGATGTGAGGCATTTGTGGAAATTAACTTACTTCTTTGCTCTTTGCAACTTCTGCAATTGCAGCAGTCCTTTGCTTTTCAAATTCATCGTCATTTGCAGGCTTCACAGGCATTGTAACTTGTAATGTTTTTCTTCGATCAAGTTCTTTGCTATCCACATGGACATTAGATGCACATTTCTGGTAAAACAAATTCAAATAATTCAGTCATCCCAAAAGAGATTAAAGTTTTTAATAGAAAGCAATATTTCTTCAAAATAAATATTTATATTTCTTATAATAGGTTACAAGTAAAAATACCACTCCAACCAACACATTTTTTTAGAGTAGAAAGCTAATTTAAAAATAAATAGTAAGTGAAATTAGGGCTATAAAAAATGCAGTTATTTAAACAAGGTCACACATTTATAATACATATTAGACTAAAAGATGTTTCATGTTAGAATAATAACTTAAAGTAAATGTAGATTTTTAACTATCTACATTAACTGAAAACAGGTAAATATGATTTATAATTAAAAGTTTCATTTCCACATTACACCACAATACCCCCTATGAGTCAGGCAGCACACCTGCTAACATATAACAGTTTGAACTAGTAAGTCAAAATCTAAAAACATGCAAAGTTTTATTTGTTGTTTTAAGTTCTGACTTTTTAAATATAATTTAGTAAAAGCATCACTGCCTAAAAACAATTCCAAATCTTATTCCAGTAAACATCCTCAAAATTAACATTTCTCTTTAGCTCAGTGGTAGGAAGAAAGCAATTTTCTCAGATGTATTACACAGATACAGAATGTTTTCCACAAGATCGATAGTGTTGATACCAACACTATCAGACAGCTTTATCTATTTTTAACCCATGTAACACTGCAATATGCCACACAAGAATTTTTCAGGATGAATAAAAATAAATATTACTGTTTTGCTCTACTTTCTAACCCCACAAAAGCTATAAGACATATTTCAAGTTCTGAACAATAATTAAATCATTGCTTCTAGAAAACACATGATTTTTATAGCTATGTAACTTATAAAAGAAATATCACAACTATCTGCAGATAAAATCAATTTTACAGATTTATTATTTTCAAGTATGAATTACTATAAATACTTTTACCTTGCTTTCATTCTGGGGTCTTTTATTAGTGTCAGAATATCATCAATATGGACCACAACAAATGACTTCATACCTCCTTTTAACTTAACTATTATTCCAAAACAAACAGCCTGTTTTTAAAATGTTTAAAAATTTTCTATGATGCAGGAATGACTGTAATTTAGAGTACTCCAATCAACTGATCCTATCCCAATTTATCTTCTGATGAACTAGATATCTTTTCTAATACTAAAATTTTAAAAATACAAAATAAAACTTGTCACAGAAATGTTGGTTTCAGTTTCCCACTTTATATGCCCAGTTTACCTTTACTCTCAATCAGGACTCTTCAATAAAAGTAAGGAGCAAATGCAATTAAATTTCTGTGGTGGCATGAGGGAAAACACGAGGTACCACAGGGATTGAGTACTCTTGGATTTGTCCAAAATAAAGCAAGGTAAGACGGAGGAGACTGTTGGGATGCAACTTCATGCTGAAAATAGTGAGGAAGACAGAAGATGTGGCCTGCTGAGGCGCTTCCTCAAAGCAGCACTTTGCAGTAGGAAGAGTTAAAAATGAGGAAGAAAAGAAGGAGTAAACACTGATCAGGGCTGCTGTAGTTAAAAAGGAAAACACCAACTGGAAACAAAATTAAGTTCCTAAGACGACTGTTTAGCTCAAGGCAGAAGAATACAATTTTGGATGAAATTTTAGCATATTTTTATCTCCTTACTTGTGAACTTCCCATTGAAAAAGAAATTTTGTAACCTTCCCTTTAACTTATTTTAGTTAGTTATAGCTTGTTCTCAGATATAGCTCCTAAGTGCATCAATCTTTGAGTGAACAGCAAAATTATTAAATTCCTTGAACTTCATATTTCCATGTCACTCCATAGCCTCTGAGTAAATGGCTCAGTACAAACTATACAGAGCTTAAACACAATGAGGAACACTCTTTCTGGACTGAAATCAATCTACAAATGGGAAATTCATTACCTGTCCAAAAGGTACAAAAGGAGGTGGTCCACCTTCAGTTCCAATATTGCTTCTATTATGTTTTGATAAACTCTGTGAAAAAAAATTCAGTCATAAAACATAAATCATACATAAAGATATAATGGGCCAGAAATCTACTGCTTTCAGTAGAATCTTAAAAGAAACAAAGGCACTCTCTAAAGTATTTCAAGTTACAATATATAAAATATTTTACTTTATTTCAGTAACATGGCCAAAGTTTTTATCTCATCTCTCCTGACCACAACACACATTTGCATTTAATTTTTTAAAATATCAAGTTGTTCTCCTGAGGAGAAAACAGATCTCCTCAACATGAATTAAAATACAACAAACTATAGCAAGAAGAATTTTACTTTAAAGCACATAGCCAATAGATATAACTGAAATTTTTCTCCAAAATGAAGCCTTAAGACATAAAACATACTAGCAAAAAATTATTACTGATAAAGGTGATTTTTTTTCAGAATATCATAGTTTATAATATGGAAAGTCAATTAAATTGTCTTTCATCAATTTATACATTGAAGAAATATTAAAGCAACTGAGTTTTTCGACATTTTTAATACAGTTTAGTGTGTGTGTGTGTGTGTGTGTGTGTGTGTGTGTGTGCACCACAGTGCACATGTGGAGGTAGGGGACAACCTGCAGAAGTCTGTTCTACCCTTCTACCATGTGGGTCACAGGAATCAAACTCAAGTCACCAGGCCTTTACCTGCTGAGCCATCTCACCAGCCTTTGCTTATTCTTTAATAGATAGGCTTCCAAACTCTACTAGCTTCGGTTTTCTTTCTCAAGTTGCATAATGAGAATTAGGGAAATAACAATGTATTGTGAAAATGGAAAGAAAATATTCTCCTAGCAAAAGCAATTTTTTTTAATTGTGAAGTCCTTCCAAAAGGCCATAGAGAACCCTCAAAAGGAGAGTTAATTATCTATTTCTCCTATTAAGTTTAAGGTATTAATATATGTTAATACGATAACATAAGCAAGCATTATTAGATAATACATCTTCTCAACTTTAAACTTGTGCATTTTTAATAATTACAATTATAGAGAATGCTATGATTAAAATATAATGTAAAAGAGTGACAAAGTTATTTTTAAAAAATCAACATGTGCAGTTTTTAACATATTCCAGGGTCCCTGTATTACAAAACAATCCTCTACATCTCATGTAAATTTCCATCATGAGTAATAAGGCTAACGTCAACCAGAACATTCAGCCTAATGAGCAAAGGATAAAAAGATTTCAGGAATGCCACATTTCTTCACAACCTACATGTAAGACATCAATCTTTTTCATTTAAGAACAAAACAAGCGTAGCATATAAATATGATTACTTAGGGTCCCTTTCCTTGGTTTTAATTTAGTTACAAGGAGAGGATTATGCAAACAGCTATAAATCAATCCAATTTATACTAAAGCTTCCTTTAAAAGCTCACATAAGTTAGCATCCTCATTAACATGGTATAATTAAAAACATCTTAAAGGCTTTCTATTTCCTGCCCTGATGAGGCTACAAGAGTCAGATTTAATCGCCCTCTAATCGCCCTCTATTCACAGGGAGCAATCTGGTCAATGCATAAAAACCAATTATTTTAGGACATAGGACATGTAGCTCAAAACTGTTTTTCCTAAGAGAAAGAAAAAAAACATCAAGTGAGCCTTGACTTCTGCTTGGATGTATGATGCAACCATGAAGAGTTCAGTGCAGAACATCAACACCATAAGAAGAAGCTCAGTATCACTAAGCACTAGAGAAAGCGCATGGAAACCATTCAAGGTTCTATTTCACACATGGAGGGCAGCTGCTCTGAGAAGGATAACCAGCACAGAAATCAAAACACTGTGAAACAATGGGACATGTAAAATGACAGCTACTAGAACAGGATGGCTGTTCCTTAAAAGAATAAAACAAAATTACCATATGATCCAGCAATTCTATTTCTCAGTATATATACAAAAGAACTAAACAGAGACCACATTCATAGTGGCATTATTCATAATAAGCAAAAGGTAGAACAGTATTAATGTCCACTGGTCGATGAATAAACAAAATGTGGTTTATGTATACAATGGAATAATGAACCTTAAAAGAGGAAATTCTGACACATGCTAAAACATGGATGAACTTTGAAGATACCATCTTACGTGAAATAAGCTAGACACAAAGACAAATACTATAACATCTTATGTCTGAGTCAAGATCACAGAAAAAAAAAAAAGTAGAACGGTAGTTTCCACAAACTAGAAAGAAGGTAGAACACGGAGCTTTTGTAGTAACGGGTATAGAGGGTCAGTTTGAGAAAATGAAAAAGACTGAGAAATAGATAATGTTGATATTTATACACAATATATGAATGTCTTTAATATCATTGAACCTCACGCTTAAAAAGGATTAGAAATGGGGCTTGAAAGATGGCTCAGTTGGTAAAATGCTTGCCACACAACCATGGGGACTGGAGTTCAGATTCCCCAGCACCCAAAGAAATACTGGGTAGGCATGATAACCAATCTGTAATCCAAGCACCTGGCAGGCATAGACGGGGGACCCCCAGAGCAAGCTGGCACACCAGACTAGCCAAATCAGCTCTGAATTCAAGTGAGAGACACTGCCTTAATATATACAAGTGAAATATACATATACACACATATATACCACACACACATACACACACGAAATGAGGTTTAAACGTTCAATGTTAAGTTATAGATACTTTACTACTTAAAAAAATTTATTTACAGCACTGAAATGCTCCAGAACTACATCACTCTGAATGTACCTGTCACGGAGCTCCTAGTACAATATAAAACAGTACGAGTACAGGATTTCAAGTCTGGGTGGATTTTTTCTCTTTTCCATCTTCCTATAACAAATTTGCTACAACTACAACACCTGTATATAGTTTATTCCCTTTTCTTATTTTATAGGACTCTTATGGCTCCTATACTTCCAAAATTTAGTCTATGATTTATTATTTTTATGCATATTTATTTGATTTCTGTATGTACCAACTGAAAGCTGCTGAAGTAATTGTACTCTCCAAGCTTCCTACATTGCTATGGTTACCAATCAAAATGATAATAAACCAAAAAGAACTGTACTTATAATAAAATGTTTTAAAGCTATTTTAAATATAAAATTTTAACATCCCCTAACAAGAAATACTAACACTGTTTCTCAGGAAGCACAATGCACTGACTATAACCAAACATTTCAAGAATATTAAACTACAATTAAACCGTGTTGTGTGTGTGTCTCTCTCTCTCTCTCTCTCTCTCTCTCTCTCTCTCTCTCTCTCTCTCTCTCTCTGTGTGTGTGTGTGCGTGTGTGCATGTGTATGTGTGTGTGCACAAGTGCACGCATATCTATGTGTTTCTGTGCTGGGAGTAATAATCTTCCTGTAAGATTTACCAGACTTAATGCTCTTAAGTGAAATCATTCTCACTGGAATGTAGGAAAATTCTAATTATAAATTTAAAATATTCGGGCTGGAGAAATGGCTCAGCAGTTAAGAGCAATGACTGCTCTTGCAGAGGACCTGGGTTCGAATCCTAGCACCCACATGGCAGCTAACAACCATCTGTAACTCCAATTCCAGGATCTGACACCCTCTTCTGGCCTCCACAGGCACTGCATAACATGGGTGCACTTAAACAAACACATGCAGGCAATACACTCATACATATAAAAAAAATAAAAATAATAAAATTTTAAATATCCTTTACCAACAATTTCAAACCTATCAAGATATCATGAGAAAGGAGGATATTTTGAATGAAATGTAACAAGTACTGAAATGTTATATCTGCTTTTGAGGAAGAATACGCTTAAACAAAGGTAGATCATTTCTCTACAGATCATCATGTTCTATCTTAATAATTCCTACAGAAAATACTAATTTTATTACTCATTGTGAGAAGAGTCCCTTAAGAGAATGCAGTAAGACTGCAGTGTTCTACTAGCGTAAGCATTCTTATTTTACACTTACTCTCTGTAACTCCCATTTGTCGATCAGGTGTTCCACTTCACCGCCAAGAACTGTGGTGTTAGAGTCATTCAAGAGCAGGAATCCATTTTTTATATCAACAATGCCTGAGAGCTTCACTTTAGTACCAGGTGGTGTGTTCAGGCTGATAAAAAGGTAAACAAAGAGTTAAAAGTACACTGAAGCCCCTCGCCAAAGTGGAATTGAGTCTAATGACTTAATCAAGTTCTTCAAAATGCACTAATACCAAAACTAGCAATACAGTATAAACCGACCACCATGAAGGAAGACCAAATATAAGTCAAAGAAATGAGCCTCAATTCCACACATTAAAACAAATGTCAACAATAATAATCACACTTCACAAAGCTATGGTAAAGATAAATAAAATAAAAGATATGAAAATAGGTTAGATGTGCTGGTACATGCCTTTAATCCCAGCACTTGGGAGGCAGAGGCAGGTTGATCTCTTGTGAGTTCAAGGCCAGCTAGCTACCTGATCTCCAAAGTGAGTTCCAGGCCAGCTGGGGCTACACGGAGACCCTGTCTCAAAAATGCCAAAAAAAGATATGAAAGTAGTAGTTGTCAACTCTATCACACACAAATAAAATATTTGCTTTTCTTTTTGTCTGAGTTTTGGCAAAAATATATTATTACAAAATTAAATTCAGCATACAAAATTATATCTAGCCAGTAATAACCCTAGAAATTTAACACTTATAAGTTATAGTAATTCATAAAAATTCTATTTTTGTTTACTCTAGTTAAAGTTAAAAAATAAGAATCATGCACTAACTTTTAAAAGATTATTAACATACCAACTTTGACATAGTTGAGTATTAACTTTGAATAGGACTTTTCTATAAAAGGTCAGTATTATCAGGTCTGGGATAAACAAGATGTTTGCCATTCTACCAACTTTTGGTAAAAGAAACACAGGAAGATATGCACTTCATCACATAGGGTTTGTTCTAAAGTAAAAGCATATATACTGAACCCCACTCCATCTCTTGCTACATACAGTACGGAAAGCTCTCCAAATAGGATTCCTAAAATAGCTGCCCTAAAACACTGAGGATGAATTCAAAAATTATTCTGGAATGGCTTCATTATTCACATTTTTAAAAGCTCATAAAATTCACTGCATGCTGATACAGGCAACATCAAATCAGTGAGTGTTAATATCACATACTTTTAAAAGATGGTTAATAAAAGTTATTTGTGACAAGAAATAAGAAAGAATATGCCTATTTCTGAAGCTTCCAAGAACCCATACAGAATAAGAGAGATTATTCTGCACATCTGATAAGCTGATGTGTATAAGTATGTTTTCGATTTTATCTCAGTAAAACCATCATGATTATTCTTGGCACATGCTTTTAATCGCAGCACAGACAGGTGGATCTCTGTGAAATCAAATCTAGCCTGGTGTACATAGTGAGTTCCAGGAGAGCTAGGGCTACTGGGGAGAACCTGTTGAGAGAGAGAGAGAGAGAGAGAGAGCGAGCGAGCGAGCTTGTTCTGTCACTCACAGGTTTAGTAATTCCTAGTTATAATTCAGAATTTACAGAATAATTGGTCATAAACAGCCTTATTTAACCAAACCCTTAAGTAGGTAGATCCATGGCAGAAAAATGTACTAAGCTTAGTATAGTGTCCCTACCTTCAAGATCAGTAATATGTAAATACAATATACTAAGAAGTTTTTGCCAATTCTAGACAACCAGAAAATACAGCTTTCTATAACTCCGAATTAAATGTTTAGGAATGAATTACAAAGATAAGTACCAAGGACCACAGGCTAATCTTCTTTTTACTCCTAAAAAAGTTACTAATTATATTATTGATCCATGACCTATGTATGTTCTTGAAAAATACTTTTAGCCTATAATTTCTTTCAAATTGGCAAAATTGGAAGATGCACAAGAATATATGCACACATGAAATTAGGAATACAGGGAACTAACTGCATGCAACCTTAAGAAACAAGATGAACATTATAGTAGCATTTAGAATGTAATAAAGCAACTTTAAAGCTAAAAGCTAACACAGAAGCAAATGAACTAACTTTTGTGTTAAATAATACAACCCCCCCAGACTCTCCCTAACAGTCAAATAATCTGAGAATACACTTACAATTTCACAAGGACAACTAATAGAGTCCACTAGATTAAATTAGAATTTTATTGCCACAAAATAAAAATGGGAACTAAAATTACATTATAATTTTTATTACATTGACTTCAGTACCATAATTAATTCTTATTTAGGGAGTACCTTTTGGTTTAATTGCTATCTTTTGGCACCCTAAGGCATCTTTACTTTCTTTGCCGAACTTAAAATAAAAAAAAAAAAAAAACCACTAAAACTGGTACAGGAGGTAGAAGATGAGAAAGAAGTGGCCAAGAGAAATGCACGGCCCATTTGGAGCAACACAGTCCATCCCTACATCTGGTTTACCCCATCTACAGAGCTCTTTCACCTTCCTTCTAAGACAACCACTAACCAAACATTATAGTCTTCCAAATTATTCCCATGAATGAACAGTTCTGCACCCTATCATTTTTGTGACAGCAAAGTAAGACATGCTGTTTCAACAGTCAAAAAAATAATATGACACTAATTGTTTCAGTTGTCAAAATATAAAGTCAACACAAGTATAAAGCAGACAGCACTGGGCAGAACCCTCCACTCTAGACCAACCTTATATTTCCATTTACTTCAGAGAAATGTACATCAGTAAAATGGGAAAAAGAGCAAATTTATGGCAAGTCTTGATTCTGTGTCACCTGTGAACTCCCTTGGAAGGGTTCTGACTGCACCTGCCAAGGAGGAAAGGCTATTTCTCCACTGAAGCAGGAAACCTACTCTCCAAAAAGAATACAGTGTAATCACAAAGTAACTAAACCCCTCTTTACACATGGTAGCACACAACTTTAATCCTAGGCCTTGGGAGGCAGAGGCAGGCAGATCTCTGTGAGATTAAGTCCTGTCTGGTCTACAGAGTGAGTTCCGGACTTTGCTTTTTCCATTTTACTAGGCATAGCTCTAAATGCCTCTTTAAAAAAGTCAAAAGAACCTGGAAGATTGATCCTTAGAGTGTTCTCCCTTGTCTTAGGAAATAGGGAACCACCTATGTCCCAAGCTCTAATCATTTCCTTAGAAAGTACATTAGCCTACAAATTCTAGCCTATGCTACAATCTTAAATTAGGTTAAGAGCCCCTCCAAATCAACAAAATCAGAGATGAAAGGGGAAACATCAAAAGACACCGGAAAGATACAGAACATTATAAGGGAATATTTAAAAACCTATATGCTACTAAATTTGAAAATCTAAAAGAAATAGATGCATATCTGAAGGCATGGGAACCACCAAAACTAAACCAAGAAGAGATTAACAGCTTAAACAGACCCATATCACAAAAAGAAATTGAAACGCACACTACTTAATTTATTCATAAAGATAGAAATGGAGGGAGAACTTCCAAATTCCTGTCTTTGAGCCAGCATCACTCTAATACCAAAGCCAGGTAAAGATACAACTGAAAAAGAAAATTATAGACCCATATCCTTAATGAAAATAAATGCAAAATTTCTCAACAAGATACTTGCAAACCGCATACAAACACACATCCAAAATATCATCCACCATAATCAGGTAGGCCTTATCCCAGAGATACAGGGAGGGTTCAGTATACATAAGTCTATAAATGTCATAAATCATATAAATGGGCTCAAAGACAAGAACCAGTTGGTCACCTCAATAGATGCAGAGAAGACCTTTGACAAAATTTATGTTCAAGGTCCTAGAGGGAACTGGACTGGAGGGAACATACCTCAACATAATTAAAGCCATATATAACAAACCCACAGTGAACATCATTCTAAATGGAGAAAAACTGGAAGAATTCCCTTTGAAATCAGGAACTACACAAGGCTGTCCAGTATCCCCACTTCTCTTTAACACAGTACTTGAAACTATTGCAAGAGCAATAAGACAAGAGCAGGAAATAAAAGGAGTAATAATTGGAAAAGAAGAGATCAAATTATCCCTTTTTGCAGATGATATAATATTATATCTAAGAGACACCAAAAATTCCACCATAAAACTCCTAGAAATTATTAAAACTTTCAGTGAAGTCACAG